TGTGGCCTGCAGCTGTGACCCCACAAAGTGTCGAAACAGACAGCAGAGCCAGGTAAGATCAGTATTGCTTCCTCTCCCATCCCTTCGGATCTCTCCAGCGTTTCTGTCCTTTTCTTCTTTCCACCCTGAAACCTGGAATCTCTTGCACTGTAGTCCCTACAGTTGCTCCTCTGTACCCAGAGAAGGACATTTCACTCCTCAGGTATGCAGTCCCCACCCTTACCCCCAGCCTTGTCTGGGAAGCTTCTGCATGATTTCGGAAACAGGAACAAGGAACAGGAAAGCAAGAACTTACAGGTAGATAGAGACACAGGATCAAACTAGCCCAGAGCCTTAGTTGAAACTGTGAAAGCCACATACTGACATAGCAGCTTCCAGAAAGGAAGTTAATCCTTCTGGCATCTTGAGATGGGAACCAAGCGTTCCATGACTCTAGGAAAAGACCCACAGGACTACTAACCACTGTTGTGAGCCAACATTTCTGTAGCTGTCTTTATGTTGCTCCCAGGAAGAACAAACTTGGGGAAACAAAATGTGCCCTGAGAAGAGTAGCAGAAAACAGATTCAATCCCTCTACTTCCTTATACCTGCTTGTACCCATGGCAACAAACCTTTGCCACAGCTCTTGATGCATAATACAAAACTCCTACAGGTGTAGTGTAACAAACATTCATCATGCATTTCATGAACATTTACAGAGAGATAGTTGGCTTGGGCCTTTTATTTTAAAGACTTCTAAGCTAAGTAAGCATCAGAGGCCTAAAGTGGCAAGGTCAGGCTAAAACCCAGAGACATAATGGAGGCCTTTAAGAGTTCCTGTTCTCATGGTTTTTCATTTAGGGTTCTAGCACCCTGAAGCTGCCACATGAAAGAGTCTCTGCCCAAAACCTTTAGAGTTCCATTTATACCAAAACAATTTGCTCTTCACTTACTTTCATGTTGGGCCTCCCCTTAGAATTTCAGTTAGCGAAAACCATTGATTAGGGTCAAGGTTTCCATTTTACAGAAGAGGAAACTAAAATCCAGAGGCAACTGAAGTGACTTGCCTGATATATAGCTGGTCCTGACAACTAAGATTAAACCTCAGGCTTCCTGGTTCTCAATCCAGCTGTTTCTACAATCAACAGCTCCAGTTTTAATCCCAGTTCTATGCAGAGTCACCTTGTGACCTCAGTGACTTTTGTCTTTTAGATTTTACTTCCTTTTCCAAAATAAATACTGATGCAGGGAGCCTCCTATAGGGGTGCTGTTGCAGATTGTAGGTTAAAGAACTTTAATCAAAGAAATAACCAAAGCTTGGCCTAATTTTATTGTTTATTTTCTTTGAGACTAGGTCCTGCTAAATACCCCAGGTTGGATCAACCTGCCATCCCCCTGCCCCAGCCTTCCAAATTCTGGGATTACAGATATATACCACCACATCCAGTTTGACCTAATTTTAAAGTTTCCTTCATCATATATCTCATTCTGTACATGCATAGGTCCTTGTTGTATTTTTGAGACATGTTTTCTCTGTATAATAGTCCTGGCTGTCCTAGAACTCCCCTTATAGACCAGGCTGGCCTTGAACTCACAGAGATCCGCCTGTCTCCAGAATGTTATCACCCACCACCCAGCCTAAAATTTGCCGTAAGTTGAAGATGTTTTGTTTTGTTTTTCTTTTTTGGTTTCTTTGTTTAGGGAGTCTACCTCTTAAGCATAACTTCATTCCTTTGGAGACAGAATATGCTAAACTTCTCCAATAGCAACTTCCTTAGGTTTGCTTTGAGTAATTGGCTGGTCAGGTCCTCAGAACTGGGACCTCCCTGGCTGAAGAAGAACAGGCTGTTTTGTAACTCTGGGAGCTAAATTATAATCTTGTCTGCTTGATTTCAGGATAACTCAGATGCTATTGAGCGAACCCAGGATTCTGAAAGCTCCTTCAAACTGGAAGATCCCACAGAGGTGACCTCAGGACTAAGCTTCTTCAACCCTGTCTGTATAACTCCCAGTAGCAAGGTTGAGTGGCTAAATATGAGACATGAAAATTCTATATTCACATCCTTCTCTGCATTGGCTATGATAGAAGCCTATGAGAGATAATTGTGGGGGAAGATATAATCAAACTGCTGAGCGCTGGCTGGCGTGTTTTATCTAATGGAGCAGTTGTGGGGGGGGTGCCTTGTATTACTTGGGATGTGAAGAGCCTTTGTAGCATCTCAGCTGAGCCCATCTATTCATTTCTGTCTGTCTTTCTAGATCCTAAAGAAGATACCTGATGCAGATCAGGTGCTGCTGAGGCCTGTTTTAGTTCCTTCCTCTGACCAGCCAGAACTGAAACCTTCAGAATCACAAGAAAATAAGGCCACAGGGAAGAAGAAGAAGCGAGCTCTAGCCAGCAATACCAGCTTCTTCTCTGGCTGTTCTCCTATCCCAGAAGAGTCCCACTGAGGTTCTCTCTGCCATGGACACACTCTTGGGCTGCAGCTCAAAGGGGAAGGGCGCTGATGACTTGTGTAGTTATAGGCCTTGCTATTGAGAAAAGAAGAAAAGTGTCACTGGACTGAAAAGGCCTTTACTGTCTAAGCCCTCCAACCCCAACTACTTTTCTTCTCCAGAAGGTGCTGAGCCATCTATTGGAGAGAACCAACTGACCCTCCTAGTGACTTAAGGCACCAGTCCCCATCACAGTCTAGCTCTTTCTTTGTGAGCAGTTGAATTGTCTCCTCATGGAGCTGAGGCCAAGATGTTCCTCACTCATGGTCATGGCAACTTAATGGAGAAGCCTCGTGCAGAATTTGAACCTGGCCCAACTCCCTCACTGCACCTCAGGAATGGGACTGGGAGTTTTCCTACTCTGAATTTTAACAGAACTTTCAGCTGTCTGTCATGTTACTGAAGTGAATAAAACATTTTTAAATGTTAAGAAAATAAATAAACTTTAGCTCATCTACTTTCTAAAGGAGACCCTTCTTTGTTAGAGGAAGAAATAAAATTCCAACCTGTTTTCCTCAGCCTCCTGGGAAAACTATTAAGGAGATCCATTACAATTTCCCCACAAGTCCGAGTGCTACCTTTTTCTGGGAAGGTTGCCTTTTGTTTGTTTGTTTGGTGTTTTGTTTACAGGGATAGGGATTGACACCGGGCTTTAAGACATGCCAGGCAAGCATTCTGTCACTGAACTACACTGTGCCCCAGCTTCCTACCCTTCCCTAGAGACTGGTGTAGAACATGTGTTGCATCTCTGCTGTTATGCTGCTCTAGAAAGTAGGAATGACATTGGCACTCCACGTTTAGTGAGCATCCACATCACCACATTCCTGGCATAATTTTATTTGTTTCTCACAAAAAATGTTCAAGGTCCATAGGAGCCTTACTTTACATATGACAAAATAGAGTGTCAGCTTTACCATACTAGAGTAAATGCCTGAGATAATGAGTCCATGAAGAGAATGGGTTTATCTTAGCTCACAGAAGCACACAATAGTACAAAGCTGCTCACCTCATGGACAGGGTGGAAAAACTAGTGGATGGATCTGGGTCCCATCATCCCTTCAAGAGCATACCCTCAAGTATACTAAAAACATTGCACAAGAACCTACCTCAATGTGTCTACAACCTCCCAAATGGCACCACAGGCCAGAGAACAAACCGTGAACACATGGGCCTTTGGGAGACACTGATCTAACACACAGATGCTACTGAGGTACAGAGAAGTAGTCAACATCGAGTTACAATGTCTGTGAGGAACAACCCAGTAAGTATACATTTTACTAGATGACTCTCCCTAATGTCCTGCCAATTAATGGGTGTAACACCATGCTGCTGCTTTTCAGTTACAAAGAAAAACTACTGGCCCCTTGCTTTCTCCCTTGAAATGGAAGAAGGAGGACAAGGCTTTTTTTTTTTTTTTAACCATACATCAGATTTCTCATTTCCCATTAAAAGAGAAGTGAGGAGGTAGGGGAGCCACATGCAGGCTAGGTAGATTTGAAGCCTCTTAAGAGTTTGCAAATCTTGAGACTCGCATCAATGTATATTGTATTCTGTTCTGTCCCTCCACCCTGTCTGCTCCTAAAAAGCTCACAAACCATCCCTACATACAAGAAGCGCAAGATTCTAGAATCCAACACAACCCAAGCAAAGAAAGGAATTGAAAAACAACCTGCCAAGAATGACTCCCAAGGGAGGACTAGGTGACCCTCGGGCCCTCCCTGGCTTCCTGCCAGAAAACAGTCTTGCTTCTCTTTGCATTTTAATTCGGAGAGAATTAGGGAATCTCTGTCATTGCCAACTAGAGCCTCTGGATACAATGGGAAAGCTGAGAGGGAGGGGACCAGCTCCTTGCAGAAGAGAGCCAGTCTCCTTCATTGGTTGCAATTGAGTGTGTGGCGGGGGGAGGGGAAGCCAGTTTGTAACAAGTCATCCTTTCCGACCAATACCCCAAAAGTGCTAATGCAACAGACCCCTAAGTCACTGCATCAGCCACAATCAAGAGCTGTCTGTCAGTCCCTCCAAGCTCATAGGCAGTTCTATGCTTTATATTAAGCTGACCACAACTTGCTGGATCACCTCCTGTTAAAGCTGGGGTAACTGCTCCGTTTGCACATTTTCATCTTCCAAAAGCCTAGTATCCTAATACACTATACACTCCTGAAGCGAGCGAATCATGAAATGATTCATCGTTCAGGTAAACAAGGCAGAAAGCCGATATCCTGAACGAGTATCTGATGTGCAGTGTTGTGAGGGCTGTTGAATACATCCACAGGGACCACTAGTCCAGAAACAGGGCAACTTGCTGCCCAGCGTTCATAAAATCACTTCAAGAGCATCTCATAGATGGGGCTTGCAAAAGTGCAAATAGCCCAAGAGGAAAAGGAAGCTAATGATTGGAAGTTGTACTCCCAGGAAGCTTGAAGTTAGACTTCCTCGTGTGTTCAAGAGTTTCCAGGGGACTGGCAGGGCCCCTTCTCCTCACTGCCAAGTTGCAAAGTTGTGTGCTCACCTCCCCCAGCTTCCCTCCCCCCTATGCCTTCAGCCCTCGCCTCCTAGAACCAGGACAAAGCCCTCTGGCAGTGACTGGGAGGGGAACAGGAGGAGGGACAGAGGGATGGGGAAGGCTGCACAAAGGAATTCCTCACACCAAGCCCCCTGACCGCCAGCTCCAGCGAGTAAAAGAGCAGACCTCCTTTCCCGCTCCCGCACGCCCATCTTCCCACCGTAGCTGGGCTCCACAGAGCTTCGGCAGGCCTTCTGAGAGGACCCACACTTCTTCCTGTAGGTGGCAACAGTGACACCTGTTTGATCAGTGAGGTCGAGTCGGAGACTGCAAGAGGGAGGAGACTGACTACACGGAGAGGAGCTGGGAAGCAGAGCTGCGCGCTCCCTGAGTAAAAGGTGTGAGGGCTCGGGAAGGCTGGGGGCAACCAGTGGGAGCCGGGAAATGAGGACCTGCTCAACCCGGCAGGGATGGAGTCCAGGGGCTAAGGCAGCACCCCTGTCAAATTCCCTGCTCTGGGTCTTTCAGACCGTCCAGATTTTGATCCCATCTTCCAAGCTGCTCTGGAGGGAGGTAGACTCTGGAAGTCTGGGGTACAGGGGTACGATTCTAGAGGTGGAAAGGGCTGTGTCCTGGTGCTCAGGACAAGCTACTGTAGCCCAGTTTCAGGATGGGAAGAAGCAAGGGCCTCCCTTTGGACTGACTACAATCTGGGAAAGGACCCACAAGGTAAAGGTTTCCTCCTTCCCCAGGCCTCACCCCTCCACTCCCTAGACAGACCCTCATTTCACAAGGGGAGCTTAGAGTAAGGGGGCAGTTTCAAGAACAGACTCACCTTTCACCCTTGCAGGAGAACCCCCACTGTACCCCTTAAGACTCTCGGAGTGAACGAAGGGGCCCTGTCCCTTTGTACAGGCCAGTTAGACTAGAGAGACAGAGCTAGACAGACAGACAGACTGACCGACTGACTTTACATTTTCAGTCACTTTGAAACCCATTTGTACTGGCAGCCACTAGTGCACTAGCGCACACACATGTACACATACTGACACATCACACACACTCACACCCTGCTTGCACTGGTGGTTCAGTAGTAGAATTCTCACCTGCTGTATTCCGTACACCTTCTCCTGTAGAATCACAGTCACAAGCCCAGCCCAGTTTGTGGATCAGCTTGGTCTCAGCCATACTCAGAACCACAAGGTACAAGAATACCCTGCTCCAAGACAACTCCCCTGCCACCACCACCCTTACACACACACATATGCCCGTGCAGGCACGCACACATGCACCTTTGCCCTGTGTGTGTATTATACTTTCACTAAGGGTAACTGAGAGGGTGGGGCCCCTGGGAGGGGGAAGATGAGATCCAGGTTTCTATTTGGGGTGGAGGGTGACTGTCCATGATGACAGGGCATGAAAGGACAAGGCTAGAGTGCAGGCACTTGGATCTCCTGGACTGTGCAGGCAGGAAGGGAGCTCCTTTAGAAGCCTGAGTGTAAGGGATCCAGGCAACCAGCTCCCCTCCAGTCTTCCTCTTATTAACAGTGCCCCCAACCCCTGGGAAGTGGACACAGAGAATCTCAGTCAGGGCTTTGTGGTTTGTACAATCTCTGTATCCATAGCAACTAGTCAGCTTGCTGTGCCTCCCCTTAGCCCAGGGTCAGAATGGAAACCTCTGCTTCACATTACTCCTGCTTCCTGGGGTGGAAGGCCGCACTGGGCTGCCTCAAGCTCAGTCAGGTCTGCCTTAACTCGCCAACCTGAGTTTGCCCCACCCTGGGACAGTTTCTCCTAAATTACTTTGGGCAAGCAGTCCAACCCCAGATCTGAATGTCATTAAACAGGAAGGAGCTGGAGAGACTGGGTACACATTATGCCTGCAAAAAGGCTGGACCACTGACTCTCCAGGTATCAAAAATCAGGGCGAATGGAAGATTGTGAAACAGTGCCTCTTTCCCAGGCTTGGGGCCAGTCGCCTCATAAAATCCAGGACTCTGGGTCTGCCCTGTGACAACAAACCTTGTTGCTGAGTAGCAGCCCAGACATCTGCCTTCCTGCCCCAGGCTCCTCAGATACATGGGAAGGGAAGCTAAGCTCTGTCCTCTCTCAGAGTCCCATGATGGCCCTATCCTTTCCCTCAGGCCTTCACCATGGGCGAGTCTCCTGGCTGCTGCTCCATCTGGGCCCGCTGCTTCCACTGCCTCTATAGCTGCCACTGGAAGAAATGTCCCAAGCACAGGGCCAAGACCAGCAAGGTGGAGTAGGGGTGCAGGGCAGGCCTTGGGAATAGAAGACAAAGACTGCTTGGAGGAAATATGGAGACTGAATTCACAGGCAGCTGGGAGGAAGGGGTTCTCTCTCCCCAGGCAGAAAGTCTCCCTCAAATACAGGAAGAGCAGCTCAGTGCAAGGCAGGAAGCTGAACTGCCATGCCTGCGGCCTCTGAGCATGACGGGAATCAACTGAGAGCTTCTCTCCTGTCCCTTCACAGTGTGACTGCATCTGGTTCGGCCTGCTCTTCCTCACCTTCCTCCTGTCCCTGGGCTGGCTGTACATCGGGCTTGTCCTTCTCAATGATCTGCACAACTTCAATGAGTGTGTCACCTATCACCCACCCCATCCTCTGCAAACCTGCCAACCTACTTCCTACCCCATGCTCAGCCCCTACTATCAGTCATCCCCAGCTCTACATGGCCCCTGAATCCCAGCATTCCCAACGTCCTTAGAAAATTCCCCCTAAGAAACCTCTCCAGTCCCTAGAGAACTTGGCCCTATGAAGCATTTTCCCCTCACTCCGATCTAGTTATTTTCCACCTCAACTCCTAAATCCCTTCAGGTCACTTCCTCCCCTTGAATACCTTTACCCTCTACAGATTCCTGTTCCGCCACTGGGGACACTGGATGGACTGGTCCCTGGTAGTCCTGCTGGTCGTCTCTCTACTGGTCACATATGCATCTTTGCTATTGGTTTGTCCAGGGATATCTGGCCTTACTCACACATAAGTCTTTCATTCCTGCTCAGGTCTACCGTCTTGTTCTCATCCTAGCAACTGAGGGGAGGATGATAATTCTTGGGTGGGAAGGAGATGCCTGCCTGAAAATCCCCAGTCAGTGAACTTGCTTTCTTCTGGAGCATCCTAAGTGCCCCTACCCTCTGTTCCCAGCTCCTGGGCCTGCTCCTGCAGCTCTGTGGACAACCTCTACATCTTCACAGTCTCCACAAGGTACAATGAAGTGGCAGTGAGGGAGAAGGGATGCTAGGTCCAACACTCTGATGGCTATTTGCTTGAGGACTTCACTTTTCTGTCCCTGGGGTCTGGGCCAGGACCTGAAACCCAGCACATATTTACTGAGTGAAAATCTGGTGGATATATTCAGGAAGGGGAAGAATCTTGTGTCAACAGAATGAGGAGGTAGCATAAGTAACCGTGAGCCTAAGCTGACGAGGAAGGCCCCATTCATCCATCCTTTGCCCCAGGTGCTACTGCTCCTCATTCTGCTTCTGGTAACCACGGGCCTGGTGGGACTAGATATCCAATGGCGGCAGGAGTGGCATAGTTTACGACTATCACTGCAGGTAAGTGACTGATCTCCCACTATCTAGGTGGGAGTCTTAGCCCATGACCAATTCTCGAACATTCTGTTGCCCTTGGTCCTATGAGACTGCAGGTCTCTCTGAACTCCAAAAGCTCATTCCTAAGAGGGGAAGAACAATAGGAAGAACTTTCCTCACCAGCTATTATCCACAGGCCACAGCCCCGTTCCTTCACATTGGAGCAGTTGCTGGAATCACCTTCCTGGCCTGGCCTGTGGCTGATACTTTCTACCGTATCCACCCAAGAGGTACCAACTTTAGCCCATACTTGCCCTTACTGGACACCAGTGTCTTCTCCTCCCACAGCTCATTCGGTTTCTTATACCTGAGCTCCGCCTCAGAGTAGCCTTTCCCTAAAGCCTATCCTCCACCTTTTACAGGCCCCAAGATTCTACTACTGTTCCTATTTTTTGGAGTCACTCTGGTCATCTACCTGGCCCCCATATTCATCTCCTCCCCCTGCATCATGCAACTCAGAGACTTACCCCCAAAGCCTGGACTGGTGGGACACCGAGGGGCCCCCATGGTGAGTGACAGGCAGAGCCTGGGCAAGTGAGGCCAAATGTGCTCCCTACATCCTCACCAACTACCCTTTCCCAGCTGGCCCCTGAGAATACCCTGATGTCCCTGAGGAAAACGGCTGAATGTGGAGCTGCTGTGTTTGAGACAGACGTGATGGTCAGGTGATGGAGGGTGGAGCCCAGAGGGACACAGTGGAAGCAGCTCCAGAGCTCCATCCCCTGACATTCATTGTGCCCTCAGCTCTGACGGAGTCCCCTTTCTCATGCATGACGAGCGGCTGAGCAGGACTACCGATGTAGCCTCTGTGTTTCCAGAGCGAATCTCAGCTCACAGCAGTGATTTCTCCTGGGCTGAACTGCAGAGACTCAATGCTGGAGCCTGGTTCCTAGAGGTGAGGACGCCAGCTAGGAAGAGGCCACCACCTGGGTAGCACTCAGGGCAGAGTTCATTCCAGCAATATGTACTTGCTGCACCCTGTGCTGGTCAGTAAGCTCAGTCTCCACCTTAGTGTCACTCCCACATAAGAAGGAGAGCATGAGCAAAAGACAATTGGAGTCGGAAATAGAGCAATAAAAATACTTCTCCTGGGCAGATGGGAGTGAGGTCCACTGTTTCACAAAGCGAGAATGGGGAACTAGTTCTGCAGTGCTAGGGTAGGACCCGGAGCCTCGACTAGGCAAGAACTTTACCACTGCCATACACTCCAAACCCTTGCTTGGGACGTGGAGTTCTAGTTTGAGTAAGAGCATGGGTAGTGGCCAGAAATACAAGTAGGTTTCTAGAGATCAAAAAGCAGCTCAGTGGAAATTTGTAGATTCAATTTGTGGTTGTGATGGGAGGCAAGGGCTTGAGCATAAAGCATTTTGAAGGTTGGACATTGAATTGTTGAATTCAATCCTCTAGGCAGTAAAAAAGTATTTAAATTTTGCAGTAACTTTTTTCCTGATTGCAAGAGTAATATTTGGTCCTGGCTAAAAAAAAAAATCAGGAAAATAATTTATGAATTGGAATCTCCCATTATCCAACCATCTAATCTACACTGGTAATACGTGTATGTATTTTTTCAAAAAGATAAGATCACAACACAGACTTGACGTTTTCTTCTTTTATAAATTTATGTCTATATATGATGTCACATCAGAGTAATTAAGAACCAACAATGTCTATATTTGAACTTTGGCTTTAGTACTCACTGTCTATGGTGACTTGGGCCAATGATCCCTAGCCAATCTGTGTCTCAGTTTCCTCATTTGTATAGCAGAAATAATAATTGTACCTCCTTTCTAGGTCTCTCGGACAGTCAGTTCATACATGCAGAGTACCCTACATATAGCAAATATTCACTATTATCCAGGTTTACCTATGTCAGCACTTGAGGTCATTAGCTGATAATAAGGGAAGGCAGGCAGAATGACAGAGGCTTGGAACAACCCCAAGGAGGAATGGGAGAAAAGGCCAATCAAGGGCAAGTGAAAGGTTTGTCAAGCCACAGTGAGCAAAACCAGGAAACACAACCCAAGAGTCCCCATGCTGTGGTCTGCCCGAGACAGTGTGCAGCCCCCAGCCCTAAAGGTGGAGGAGGCAGATAGTTATAAAAGTGAGCCAACATTTAGAGAGTGTACGAAAGGTGGAAAGGAGTCTCTTGAGAGCACCTTGGAAAGTAATTCAAGCTGAGGCTGTACTATATAGATTGGGGGTGCGGATGCAACAAGGAAGGAGCCAAACGACCAGGAGGAAAGCAAAGGCTCAAGATCACAGAAGTCTCTACGAGACTAAAGAGATGACGTAGTGGGAGAAAAGAAGTTACAAACCTGGAGGGGTAAGAAGCTGAGGCGATAGGGTAAGATTAGATGGAAGAAAGCAACAGTTTGGAGAAAGACCTTGGCTCAGAGCTGGGCAGAATCTGGGCACACTTGGTAAGATTGAGAACAGCTAGCTGGGTGTGGTGGCTCACATGTTTAATCCCAGAACTTGGGAAGGAGAGGCAGGCAGCTCACCATGCTTTACATAGCTATAGCTACATGGCAAATTCCAGTCAAACCAGGATTGCATAGTGAGACCCTATCTCAAAATGAATGAATGAATGAATGAATGGATGGATGGATGGATGGATGGATGGATGGATGGATGGGAGAAAACCTCGAGGCTTCTTGTGATGTTGAAATAACTTCCCTCTCTTATAGCGGCAACCCTTCTGGGGGGCCAAAGAGCTGACTGGCTCTGATCGGAAGGAGGCTGAGAATCAGACAGTACCAGCACTAGAAGAACTACTGAAGGAAGCAGCAGCCCTCAACCTTTCCATCATGTTTGACTTGCGCAGACCCCCCAAAAACCACACATACTATGACACTTTTGTGAATCAGACTTTGGAGGCTGTGCTGAATGCAAGCGTGCCGCAAGCCATGGTGATGTTGTCCAGGAGCCCCAAAGTCCCCCTTTTGTCCCTCTTCCTGCCCTACCTTCCTTAGGCCATGATGATTTCAAGGCTGCCTCCTGCCCTCACCCTCCTACCCCAGCTCACAGGCCAGACACCTCTGAGCCTGTCGCTGGCACCCCTAGGACCGCCTGAGCTGCATACTTATCTTCTCTGGACCACAGGTTCTTTGGCTTCCGGATGAAGACCGTGCTATTGTGCAACAGCGGGCTCCCAGAATGCGCCAGATATATGGACGGCAGAGTGTCAACAGGACTGAGAAGCCCCAGTTTCTCAATCTCCCCTACCAAGACCTTCCAGTGTTGGATATCAAGTGAGTGCCAGAGGAAAGGAATAAAGGGGACCCCAAAGTTGAGTGTCAGGAAAGAAGCAATCAGGGGGTACAAAAGCTATTCATTCATTCATTCCCACAATGGAATCTATTAGAGGATTGTTATACACCACGTAGCTTTTATTGTAGGCCTAAAGAAATAAATGTGAATAAGACAAGAAAGGTCCTGGCTTTCATAGAATTTAGAAACTAGCAAAATATATAGACAAGAAATCACCGAAAATACATTTATGTTGGGTAATGATATTAATAAAACCTGGTACAGTAGTGATTATGGTAAGGAACCAGGGAAGTCACATTAGCAAGCACTAAAAAGGTGATAACCAAGCTGAGTGCCAGAAGATTGCAAGGAGCTAACTATGGAAAAACCAGAAGAAGCAAGGCGAGCATGAAAAGCAAGAAAACGTGAGGAAGAAGCTGGAGCGATAGCCAGGGACCAAACTGGATAGGGCTTTGGAGGACATGAGAAAAAAATTTAGTATTAGCGATGTGTATAAGAGGATGGATCCAGGGCAGAGTCTCAGACATGAGCTGGGCAAATTCCGGAGGGGCCCTCGTTTCTCTCCCATTTCCACAGGGCACTGCACCAGAATAATGTCTCAGTGAACCTATTTGTAGTGAACAAGTCCTGGCTTTTCTCCCTGCTCTGGTGTGCAGGGGTAGATTCAGTCACCACCAACGACTGCCGGCTGCTGCAACAGATGCATTACCCCCTCTGGCTTATTGTAAGGGCGCGAGAGCTGTCACTGTTTCTCATTTCCCACCTGTAGATCTCCTTCGACCTGTCCTCTTCCAGACTTATTTACCCCCATATGCTACTCTTGGATGCTCTGGTCACTGATGGGCTTTTTCCATCCCCTTAGCCCCCTCGGATTTACTTAATGATATGGACCATCACCAACTGTGTCTCCATTCTGCTGCTCTTGTGTGTCTTCCTCCTCCGAGGGTGAGTGTTTGTGCCTTGGTCTATCGGGTCACCACTGTCCCCAGGCCCCAGGCGATAAGGCTGATTCTGACTCAGATGTGCTGCCCAGGATTGGGATTTAGCCTGGCCTGATTGATTTTTGAGCTTTCATTACACCAATAAATCGGCTTGGCCCTGGGGAAAGCAGTTTGGAGATGCCCTGGGTTGGAAGGTCTTGCTACAAGTTGGTGAACTCACAATACAAAGACTTTCTCTCTACAGGAGATGTGCTGAGAGGAACAGAACTGGTAAGAGTGTACCGCTCACCTCTCATTGTCCCCTCTGAATTTCCCCTTGCATAGCCCCCTACATGACCCACTTCTCCACTTCCCTAGGCCTAGAAGCGGCAGTGCTGCTGACCAAGATCAACAGTGTTATCTCCGACTGAATGGCAAACCTGTGTCCCCATAGGCGCAACCCAAGGCTTGTGTGCACTGGCCAAAGGGAAGGAAAGGAGCTGGAGTGGAATGTCCTGGAATAAAATGTTTGCAGCATTGCTAACAGGAGCATTTGAACTAAGAAGGAGGCCCTCTGTCCAGATGATGGGCATGTCTCAAGCTGCCATGGAATTTGCTGCCTTTGGTATTTTGACATGAGTTAGTTGCAAAGACAGTGAGTGGCAAGAAGTTACTCCCCAAATTGCGATTAAAACAAGGAACTGAGAGAGATTGCCAAGATAATGCCTTGGGCCTGTGTGCACATGCACTTGGGTAGAAGACATGGGGTGTGTCAGGATGGGGTAGCTCTGAATGAACACGGAAGAAAATTTGGCAAAATGGCCTTTCCTTTAAGAAGACGAAGACAGCCCCCACTCCATGCCCTTTCTGTCCTCATCCTCGCAATTTAGCTCTTTCCTGCCTACAGGTTGGGAGCTAAACAACTCATTTAGCAATGCAATTCTGTGCCTATGGTGGCTTGTTGTTGTGAGCAGTGAGTGGTGCCTGTATCTTGTCTGTTAATCTGTTATTCAATGAATTTTTAATTGTCACTTGGTCACAGTCTAATCATTTCAGTGCTGGGGCTGGAAGGATGTGCATTCCATCTGGAACTGAATGTAAACTGACATTGACAGGTCATCGTCACGGGGAGAATTGCAGGCAGGAGGTTAAGGACTAACTCCACGTGACTCCCAGCAGGCTGAAGAGTAGCGGCTGTGGCCTCTGTCCAGGTAGTCCAGGAGCTTTGTGCAGGGTTGCGTTCTAGCTCCACCTTGTGGTCACTAGCCCCGAGAGGGCTGTATCCCTTACCACTGTGACGTACTTGATGAATGCCACCAGTTTTCCTTGCGTGTTCGGGGACTTGTGTCCTTGACTTTAGATTCTGAGGGCAAGGTCTGATTTCCACTTTCTTCTTTTTTATTCTCTGGGATTCACACAGGGTCGGGTTCTAGCTAGCCTTCCCCTTGAGGAACAAATTCCTCAATATGTTGCTGTTTCTAAGGCTAGAAACTGAGGTGCAGAGCTGACCTGGCGATAGTGAGGCAAATAAAAAAGAATTGGAAAGCTAAGACAAAAACTAGGACAACTGGGGCTCTGTCAGGCTGATCTTGCAATCCTCCATTACACTGCCATTCATCCTGGTTCGTGCCTCCACTCAAAGGCCATTCAAATTAAGATTTTGATCTGGACAGGACAAGGTCCTCGATTCCTTCTCTCCTGTCAGATCAGGACCTGGAGCAGCACTAGCCTCTCGCGCTAAGATCCCCCACCTCCTCCGTCCCCCACCCCTTGGTTACCAGCAGCCATGGGAACTACAGTTCCCAGTATGCCTCTGGGCACTTATGTTCTTCAGTGGATGGAGGCGAGTTTGAATATGCAGCGCCTCTCTCTCTCCCTTCCTCCCTCCCTCCCTCCCTCCCTCCCTCCCTCCCTCCCTCCCTCCCTCCCTCCCTCTCTCTCTCTCTCTCTCTCTCTCTCTCTCTCTCTCTCTCGTTCTTTCTTTCCTCGTTGCCCCACTCACTCGCATAGCCCTCCATGCTGACATACCTGGCCCAGGCAGGAGTGACAGACATGATTGGTTGTGGGGACAGCAGTGCAGCCAAGGGAAGGTTCTTGTTGCCTTAACCTGAGCAGATCACACTGCGTCTCAAATTGCATTCCCTTCTCTCTCCACCCTGCCGATCCCACTCCTCAGTCTAGCCTCCCAGCCTGTTGTCCCCCTTGGGCATGTACTTGCTTCCCAACTCAAATACTTTTTTTCCTGCCTTTGTCAGTTGCCCAGGCTCACTGCCCTGCAGCTTTTTCCCTTCCCTTCCCTTCCCTTCCTTTCCCTTCCCTTGCCTCCCCTCCCCTCCCCTTCCTTTCCCTCCCCCGCCCTCATGACTCCATACCGTCAACCTCCAGCCTCACAGCTCTAACCTCACAACTCTCCAGCTCTTGGCTGCAGTCCTCTAACCTCAGTGTCCATTTTCCCAGAGTGCCAGCACCAACTCAGTGTTCCCAGTTCCTAGTTTTGCTACTGAGTTCTGAGCCAGTCACTGCAAACTCTTCTTCCTAGCTGTAAGCACCTCTATGAGGCCAGGGGCTGGAGATGAAGACTGACCAAAATTTGAGGGCCGAAGGCCAGGGGGAGCTGCTCATTGGGTTTTGAATGCAATTGCTCATTATTTTTAGCTGCTGACTCACAGCTCCTGGCATCTGGGTTTGGGGCTAGCAGGCTGGGTTAGGGGCCTATTAATAGAGCCAAGGCACAGCCCCGACCCAGATGAATTTTGAATCATTGGGAGCAAGGAGCCTCCCCCTGACACCCTGTTTAGTGAAGCTGCAGTGCATAGAGGTAATGACTGGGATACATGCTCTCTGATTGCCAGGTACTTCAACCTAGCATCACGCAAGGGATGTACTCCTGGGTACATCTCTCCCATGCTTGCCACAAATTGGGGGCTGTACCACAATGAAACCTCTGTTGTACTAGCTGAGAGGATGAGTCTCAATGGAGAAGTTATTATGGCATGTCCTTGGCCTACCTGAGTCTACTCCTGGGTTTGAAAAATACTAACTTATTAGAAAGGAAACCCGTGAAATTCCGGTCCCCAGAAACCTCATGAAAATAGGGGGCTTCAACATGATCCTAGTAAAGGTAACAGAGCCAAGAAGCTTTCAAGTTCCGGGTCTACCATCCATCCATTCTTTGTTATTTCTGTTCCTCTTTTTTTGGGGGGGGGCTGTGTTCCTACTCAAATGGGTCTGCAGACCTCGTGATCTCTCTTTCACATCTGCGCAGAGAAACCTAATTCAAAAAGCCACTGAAAACCTTGTCCCCGCTGAGGTATGAATAATCCTTTCTATTTTGTCATTCCCATGGAGTCTTTATTTTAATGGGCTAAAGTAGCAGTTTCCTGAGGCACACATTGAGAATAGTGGGCAAATCTTGATGCTTTCATCACTGGACTAATCACCAAAATTATTCCCACCCACTCTCAATTTTCTAGAATTCCCGTTGGTTAAGAACAGCAATCTTCGGCCTCCACCCTTTACGAACCGGAAATCTCTGTTTTCTGCTCATCTGGCCCCTAGATGGAAACTATGTGTGGGCCAAAAGAGATTGTCTCTCCACACACAAGGACTGAGGTCACATGCTCTATTTTCAAGAATGAGCTCAGGTTATGAGACAGCAATGAACAGTACCACCCATAGCAGTTTATTTGCTGAGGGCGCTGGAGAGGCGATAGAAGGAGAGAGAAATGATCTCTGTGCTCACAAATCCCCCAACTGCTCAATCTCTGAGTCTGAGCTCAGGCTGCCTGGTCGCCTAGCAACCACAACCGCCTGCCTGTATTTTGGGGGCTGCATCAGGCCGGTAGGGGGCGCCTGTCTCCCTGGGGCCCCAGGCAGGAGCACAGGCAGTTGGCAGATTTCCCTGTTAAGTGGCAAAGCATCTCAGTGTTACTGACCTCCTCCCAGGCTTGTCAACCCAGTCTGTTCTGAGTGCCTGTGGAGTAGGGAAAAACACACTGGATTAGAATAGAAGGCATTTTACACAGATTCATTAAAAACGCAGAGATGGATGGGGCTGGAGGGATGGCTCAGAGCACTTAATGATTTTCCAGAAGCCCTAAGCTTTGTTCCCAGAACCCATATTGGGTAGTTCACAACCACTTGTAACTCCTGCTCTAGGGTATTTGACACCCTCTTTTGGTCCCTGCGGCCAGCTACACATATAGCATAAGTTTGCGTAAATGCACATACACATAAATAAAAACACCCCCTCCCTCATGCACTTAGTTTTTAAAAAGAGAATGCGAGATAGCTCAAGCAGGTAAAGGCACTTTCTGTTAAGCCTGATGACCCCAGTTCAATCCCTGGAACACAGATAGTAGAAGAGAATCAATTCCCAAAAGCTGACCTCTGGTCTGAACACACACACATGCATGCAAGTGCATGTGTGAGGGGCTAGAGAGATGGTTCAGTGGTTAAAAATACTTGTTGTTCTTGCAGAGGACCCAGGTTTGGTTCCCAGCATGGACATGGTGAATCACACCCATCTAGTTCCAGGGCATCCAATGCCTTCTGAACTATATGGGCACAGGTATGCATGTGGTACACATGTAGGCAAAAGTGAGGTTCTTTTTAAGTTAAATGTCTTTGTCAATGCTCTATTGCTGTGAAGAGACGGCATGACCTTGGCAACGCTTGTAAAGGAAAGGATTTAGTTGGGGCTTGCTTATAGTTTCAGAGGGTTAGTCCATTGTCATTGTGGAGGGAAGCATGAAGGCAGGCAAGCAGGCATGGTGCTGGAAAAGGAGCTGAGGGCTATATATCTGGATCACAGGTACCAGGAAGAGGGTGACTCTGGGCTTGGCATGGGCTTCTGAAACCTCAAAGCGCCCATCCCCAGTGACATGTTTCCTTAAACAGGAATGACTTCCTAATATTTTCAAAAAAGTGCCATTCCCTGGTGACTAGGCATTCAAATATATGAGCCTAGGGGGGCATTCTTTTTTTTTTTTTTTTTTTTTTTTGCTTTTTTGAGACAGGGTTTCTCTGTGGCTTTGGAGGCTGTCCTGGAACTAGGTCTTGTAGATCAGGCTGGTCTCGAACTCACAGAGATCTGCCTGCCTCTGCCTCCCGAATGCTGGGATTAAAGGCATGCACCACCAACACCCAGCTCTATGGGGGCATTATTATTCAAACCACCATATTCCACTCCCTGGTTCCCATAGGACTGTAGCCATACCATAATGCAAATAAAAATGCATTCAGTCCAATTTCAAGAATCCCTATATTATATCACAGTCTTAACATGATTTAAAAATCCAAAGTCTCTTCTGATTCTCACGGCAATCTCTTAACTGTAACCCCTGTAAAATCAAAACAAAAAAGCAGATGACATACTTCCAACATACAATGGCACAGAATGTATGTATGGGGGAAAGAAAACACAGTGAAAAAATATGGGACCAAACCAAGACTGAGTCAGCACTTGGGAGGCAAAGGTAGGTGAATCTCTGAGTTCAAGTCCAGCCTGGTCTACAGAGCGAGTTCCAGGATGACAGGCTCCAAAGCAATACAGAGAAACCCTGTCTCAAAAAAAAAAAAAAAAAAAAAAAAAAAAAAAAAAAAAAGAAAGAAAGAAAGAAAGAAAGAAAAAAGAAAAAAGCAAGACTGATATATCCAGCAGGGCTAACTGAAATGCAATTATTTTTATGTTTCTCATACTGGTTAATGAATAAAGCACTGTTGGGCAATAGGAAAGGAGATAGGAGGGACTAGGAGACAAGGAGAAAAAAGGAAGTAAGGAGGGGTCAAGATGGAG